AGTTGTTTTGATTTGCATTTCCCTGATCGCTAAGGATGTTGAGCATGACCTTAAGTGTCTTTTGGCCATTTGAACTTCTTCTGTTGAGAATTCTCTGTTCAGTTCAGTGCCCCATTTTTTAATTGGGTTAATTAGCATTTTAAGGACTAGTTTCTTGAGTTCTTTATGTATTTTGGAGATCAGACCTTTCTTTGTCTGTTGCAGGGTTGGTGAAGATCTTCTCCCAGTCAGTAGGTTGCCTTTTTGTCTTGGTGACAGTGTCCTTTGCTTTACAGAAGCTTCTCAGTTTCAGGAGGTCCCATTTATTCAATGTTGCCCTTAATGTCTGTGCTGCTGGGGTTATACATAGGAATTGATCTCCTGTGCCCATATGTTGTAGAGTACTTCCCACTTTCTCTTCTGTCAGGTTCAGTGTGTTCAGAGTGATATTGAGGTCTTTGATCCATTTGGACTTGAGTTTTGTGCATGGTGATAGATATGGGTCTATTTTCATTCTTCTACAGGTTGACATCCAGTTATGCCAGCACCATTTGTTAAAGATGCTTTCTTTCTTCCATTGTATACTTTTAGCTCCTTTATCGAAAATGAGGTGTTCATAGGATTGAGGGTTAAAATCCGGGTCTTCTATTTAATTCCATTGGTCGAGTTCTCTGTTTTTATGCCAATACCCAGCTGTTTTCAATACTGTAGCTCTGTAATAGAGTTTGAAGTCAGGGATGTTAATGCCTCCAGAAGTTCCTTTATTCTATAAGAGATTGTTTTGGCTATCCTGGGTTTTTTGTTTTTCCATATAAAGTTGATTATTGTCCTCTCCAGATCTGTGAAGAATTTTGATGGGACCTTGATGGGGATTGCATTGGATCTATAAATTGCCTTTGGTAGAATTGCCATTTTTACTATCCTTCAAATATCTTTATTGCTTTCATGTCACATTTATTTTTTACCCTCTCCTGTCCCCACCCCATAACTCCTCTTATATCTCTTTTTTCATTCTCACAGACCTTTTCCTACTTTCGTCTTCTGTATCTATTTATGCACCTATCTTGTGTATCTAAAAGTCTAGATTCTTCATCTGAGAGAAACACAGTCTTTGTCTCTGTGTCTGCCTTCTATCACTTAACATTTTCCTGTGAATGTTATAATTTTCACTGTTCTTTACAATAAAATTCTGTTGTGTTTATATACAACATTCTCTCCATGTATTCCTTTACTGATGGAATTTCAAGCTTGTTCTAATCCCAATATTTTATGTGAATAGTGTAGCAATAACCTGTTGTGTTTAACTATTTTGTGATATGCTTAGATGTCCTGTGTAATAGATCCAGGCACAGTGTGGCTCTATATGTATGTTAGTCCAATTTTTAATATTTTGAGGATTTTCTATACTGATTTCTGTAATGGCCAAGTCAGTTTGCACACGCACTAGCTATGTAAAAAGTTCCCCTGTCCTTGTAACCTTGCCATCATTTGTTTTCTTAATGATAGTGATTCTGACTTTGATGCATTGGCACCTCGCTGTATCTTTAACTTATGCTTCCTTGATAGACTTAAATATCTTTAATACTTTGTTTGTTTGTTTTTGTGTTTCAAGACAGGATTTCTCTTGTGTAGCCTTGACTGTCCTGGAATCTGCCCTGTAGACCAGGGTGGCCTCAAACTCATGGGCCACCAGCACTGGCATATGATCCTGAATACTTTTTAAAAAATGTGTAGGCTAATTATGTTTCTTAATTTGAGAACTATCTCTTTAAATTATTAGTTTATTTATTAAGTGAATGATTTGTTTTATTTTAAAATTTTGTGGCTTTTTCTTTTATAGATTCTGTATGTTAATCCCTATTTGATATATAATTGATAAGTTTTTTTTCTGTTCTGTAGAGTGTTTCTTCAAGTTGATGATTGTTTCATATTCTATACAGAAGCCTAATTTCACGTAATCCTACTTGCCAATTTTTGAAAGTATTTCCTACGATATTGGAATTTTTTTCAGCAAATCCTTGTCCATGCCTATGTCTTGAAGTGTTTTGCTCTAATAGTTTCAAGATTTTAGATCTTGCTTTAAGGTCTTCCATCCAGTTGGACTTGTTGTTTGTGAAGGGTGAGAAATTTGGACATAGTTTCATTCTTCCACATAGTTTTCTCAGCACTGTTTGTAGAAGAGGCTTTTCTCTAGTGTATGCTGTTTTCACCTTTCTCAGAAATGAGGAGGTTGCAGCTGCGGAAGCTTCTTTGGATCATCTGTTCTCCCTTTCAGGTACTAACCACGCTGGACCCTGCTGAACTTCTGAGGTCAGAGGCTATGAGGACTGTTCAGGGGTGGCTGTTGGATCTTCTGTTTTTTTCCATTAGTCTACATGTATGTTTTCATGCTGTTGCCATGTGACTATGAATTTTTAGTTTGAGATCGGCTATTAAGATACATCCAACATTGCTGTACAGGATTGGTTTCATTATTTTGAAGTCTTCTATGCTTCTATATGGATGTTAGAATTGCTTTTTTTCTAATTTTATAAAGAATTTCTTGAAATTTTGATGAGGATTATATTAAATCTGTAGATTTCTTTCAGTGACATTATTCATTTTCACAGTATTAATCCTGCCCGTCCCTGAGGAAGCAGGCCTTCCCAAGCTTCTAGTGTCTTGAGTTTCTACAGTGGTTCATAGTTTTTATTTATAGAGATCCTTTACTTCCTTGGTTAGGCTTGTCACAAAGTATTTGTTTAAAAGCTATTGTGAATAGATTTTTGCCCCAACTTTTTTCTTTGCATTTTTATTGGTATGTACAAAAGCTACTGATGTTTGTATGTGATTTTACATCCTGCTGTAGTGCTGAAAGTATTTGTCAACTTTGACTTTTCTGGAGGAATCTTCATACCTTCATGGTCTTTTTTGCATTTGTATGTGTGTATGATGTGTGTGCATATGTGTATTCATGCTCATGTGTATGAGAGAGTGTGTGTATTCATATAGAGGGCACAGGTTGGTGTCGGAGGTCTTCCTCAGTTACTCTCCACTTTATATACTGAGGCATGCCCACCCAGTTTTACATGAGTTCTGGGACTCTTGCATGTGGGCGCTGGAGACCTGGCCTCTGGTCCTCGTGCCTTCTGCAATAGGCACTTCAACCAGGGCCATCTGTCCAGTTCTACTTTAGGGTCTGTTATCTGTAGCATCATCTTGCCTGTAAGCAGGAATAATGAGAATTTAAAAATCAGTTTTATGTTTTAAATTTCTCCTGCAGTTTTTCTGTCTCGTTGCTTTTTATTTCATTTCAATTTAAAAAACCATTTAGATCACATTGTAGTTTTGTTTATAGTGCTTTGTGGTATTTTGCTGGGTGGTTAAAAAACAAAACAGGCTTTGTTTTGCTTTAGGCTTTTATCTTTAGCAAATGAAACTTGGCTACTATAGTGTTACTTATATGCTATTAGCCTAAAGTTGATGGTTGAGGCTTCAGATTAAATAGAATGAATTTATTTAGTCAAAGTTTTTTTGTAAGTTAAACTAGCTTAGTCTTATTTTGAATATTTGAGATTTTAGTTTCCAAGTTCTAAGTAAAGAATATTACATTAAAGTAAATATAAAGAGCTGAATAAGTGTAATCATAGCAATGACTGATCCTTTTACTATGATAGTACATTGGTAATATTTGGTTGCTATAGCTTTTGAATTTATAATTCATTTATTATATTTTCCATCATTTTTCTTATAGGTTATATTTTGCTCATCTTATATGTATAAAATTTGTGCATATATTTTAAAAAGAAATATACTACAAAGATGCTATTTATGTTGTACTTTCTCCTGTTTTCATCCTGTCTTTTAAATAATCCTCAGATGAAATTTGAGTTTCAATTCTTCTAAACCAAGCTTTATATTTTCTTTTTGTCAAAAGTTTTATTCTTATCATGGAAAATTTGTTTTTTTCTTTCTTTTCTTCTCCCTTTTTTTTTTTTTTTTTTGCGGGGATGGGGAGAATAAGGTCTTTCAATGTAGTTCTGTCTGTCTTCAAGCTCACTGTAGACCAGGCTAGCTTTGAACTCACAGAGATCTTCCAACCTCTGCGTCCTGAGTGCACCACTACACAAGGACTAAAATTTGTTTTCCCCTCAATATTCTATTTTAGTTATTTTGCCTGAACCTTAGATTTTAAATAGTTTTATATAGATAATTCTTTAAAAAAAATTATTTATTTATTTATTTATTATGTATACAATATTCTGTCTGTGTGTATGTCTCCAGGCCAGAAGAAGGCACCAGACCTCATTACAGATGGTTGTGAGCCACCATGTGGTTGCTGGGAATTGAACTTAGGACCTTTGGAAGAGCAGGCAATGCTCTTAACTGCTGAGCCATCTCTTCAGCCCCTATAGATAAAATTTGTTAACACATTCCAAACTTCATTTTTTCTTAAGATTTGTTTTTGAACCATTTTGAAATATATTAACAATTAGCTTTAACTTATAATTGTTTATTACATACTGGTTAAATATTAGGGTATTTGTGTTGTTGAATTTTTACTTTTTGAGCTCTGACCTACCTAGTTCATGTAAGATTATTCTTTTCTCATTTTGTAGATACAGTGTGATAGCCTGTCCTTTCCCCAAAGACCTTTGGGATGTAAGGGTGAAACGGAAGTGAAAACTTTTCAGATCTGAGTTCAGTGGTTTTTTTTTTTGTTGTTGTTGTTGTTGTTTGTTTGTTATTCATGACTGGGTTTCTTTGTGTAGCCTTGGCTGTCCTAAAACTAGCTCTCTAGACCAGGCTGGCCTCAAACTCACAGAGATCCCTTGCCTCTGCTTCCTTAGTCCTGGAATTAAAGGCATGTGCCACCACTACCCAGCATATGAACTTTTTTTTAAAAAAGTATCTTTATCATATAGTATTACATGTAAGAATTTATTTTTAGCCTGTCGAATTTTTATTTGAATTTGTGTCGGTGTCTTCTAAATTCATTTGAGCCTTATTAGAAATGAATTTAATACAATTCTGTTTTTCAGAGGATCAAAACCAAGAAAGACAGATAACATTTCTGCAAAGAAGGCTCCAAATGTGAAAGAAAAGCACAGAGCTGACCGTGGCATTTCTGTGACATCTGATACTCAGCCTGAAGGTTTGTGATTGCTGGAAAACTGGAATTAGAATTTTGCTTATTATTTTTAGCAGTTTTGTTATGAATATTTTATAGTAATATTGAAATGAGATGCAAAAATAAAGAGAAGTAGTTATCTAATACAAATAAAATTGCTGAACATTATTTATATACCTAAGTATATATTTCTTTCTCTACTTGCCAGTCCCAAAAGTTGAATTTGAATATTACTTTTTGTCTTTTTATGTGTGTATGGAGTAAAAGTATCTTTGAAGTTATGTTAGTTTGACTATTCGAATTGTTTTCATGAATATTAATATTACTGTTATCTGGAATGTTATTATGCTCTTCCCATTGTCTAGTCTCTTGCTACAAAATGCATTGGTCAGAACTGCTTTTAACTCTCAAAGGATGCCCACCTAGAGGTCCTTGGATTCCCCACAGGGCAGGGAACCCTGACTGCTCTTTGGGCTGATGAGAGAGGGGGAGTTGATTGGGGGAGGAGGAGGGAAATGGGAGGCGGTGGCGGGGAAGAGACAGAAATCTTTAATAAATAAATAAATAAATAAATAAATAAAAGGATGCCCACCTAATTCAGCTTAGCAAACATGAAGGCAAATACATCTCAGGCTTCTAAAATTCTTCACAGGTCTCCTGATGTATATTAATTAATTAATTATTAATATTAATAATATTCTGACTCCTTTCCTTTTTATTTTTCTTTTAATATTTAATTTTTTAAACCAAAATTTATGAAAACTTAGATTACTACCTTAGCCATTAGAGCTCTTTTGGATTGTTGATAGTTTAAAACAAAGGGAGATATTCTGTTTTCTGAGTAATTTTGTAAATTATTCACGAGAAAAAAAATGTTCTTTAATCACACTGTGCAAAAATTTATGTATTTCATTTCAAGTATAACTGTTTGGATTCTGTGTGTGTGTGATGTGTGCGGGAGGAAGAGAAAGTGTTGGCTTTTCTTGTTTATCATTTTTGTCCTACTCCTTTAAACCCAGAGCTTTCAGTTTTCTCCTAGGCTGGTAGCCAGTAAGCCCCAGCAAGCTTCCTACCTCTACCCTCTTGGAGCTGGGGGTCAGGCATCTGCAAAACTATGTCTGACCTTTCCACGGGTTCTGGGATTAAGTTCATGTCCTTGAAGTTAGATATCAAGTGATCTTAATCATTTAATTCTCTCTCTGGTGCCTACCATATTTTTTAGTAGACTTCGTAGAAACTAAGGGAACTAGACTTGACTTCTATGCATACAAGAGGCTGGCTGAGATTTTTTCAGGGCAGTTACTAGAGAAAGCGACTTTGTGGACACAGGCTTCCATTCAGCCACTGAGATTGTTAGTTTACAGCGGACACATTTCTTATGCTCTATGTGAAGCTTGGGAGTGTAGTGTTATTTATGTGCTCTTAGCTTTAAGTCTGATTGTTAAGGCTGACTAGAGTGAACTGACTTTATCAGAAGTATTTTGTAACTGAAACTGGCTTAGTCTTACTTTGAATATTTGAGATTTTGTGAGTAATGTGCTGTGGCTCTGCCTAGTCCAATTTTTGTTTTCAGTAGCTCTTTCTCTCGTTTATCTTTTGTTTACTCTTTGTTTTAAATTTCTTCCACTCACTCATAAGCACACAGACACGGCTGTTATTTTGCCATGAGCTTTTCTCTTAGGACTGCCTTGGCTCTAGCCCAGACACTCCAGTAGGTTGTGCTACCAGTTTTACTTTATTCCAGGAATTTTTAAATTACTTCTGGATCAGTGGAATTAACACCATATTATGAAAATGACCGCTGGGCAGTGGTGGCACATACCTTTAATACCAGCTCTCAGCGGGCAGAGGCAGGTGGATCTTTGTGAGATCAGGGACAGCCAAAGCTGTTACAAGACTATATTGCCAAAAGTGATATAAAGATTCAATATAATCCCCACCAAATTCCAGTGACCTTCTTCACAGCATGAAGAAAATTAATCCTAAGTATTCATATGGAAACAGAAAAGACAGCCAAACCAAAACCAAACAGACAGAACTTGCAGGAGGCATCACCGTGTCTGACTATAGATTGTAGTACAGACCCATAATCACAAACATTGCATGTACTCCCACAAACAGACCCCAGACCACTGGAATATAACCAGAGACCCGGAAATAAGTCCATGCAGCCTTAAAGAAAAATGAAATTATGGAATTTGCCAGGATATTCTTGGATCTTTAGAATATTATATTAAAAGAGGGTATGAGGTCTCTTTGGTTTTAATTTGAATATTGTGTGCAGTTATGTGGGAGTGAGTGTGAATATCGGTCAGAAACTAGAAAGTAGGTTGGCTACAGGGTTACTGGGGAGAGGAATTGGGGACAAGGATTGATAACAGAAACAAAAGTCTGATGAGTTCCATAACGAAACTCATTACTTTATATGCTAATTAGAACAAATACAAAATAATAATAAGAAAATTAATAGGTGGTGGTGGTGCATACTTTTAATCCCAGCACTCTGAAGGCAGAGGCAGGCAGATCTCTGTGAGTTGGAGCACAGCCTGGTCTACAGAGTAAGTTCCAGGATAGCTAAGGCTACACAGAGAAATCTTGACTTGAAAAACCAAAACAGTAATAACAAAAATGTATTTATATCAAATAGAAAAGCCATGGTTACTTGTTTCATTTTCATCACTTTTTGAAAGGATGTTTCCTCCCCATAAAATTTGCCGTGTGCCCTCACATCTATTGTCTAAAGAACACAGCTGGTTTATGTAGGCTCACCCTTTTATATTTCCATCCAGTGTCACTACAGTTTTGTTTTAATGAGCTTTTTAGTTAGTATAGTAATTTCAGTATGACTGGCAACTCATGTAAAAGGAACTTTTGTATACTTTTTGGGCATAGCTTTGCTTTTTATGTTTTTTAAAGATTTTAATCCTGAAAGTAAAGAGTGCAATAATCTTGAAGAGGGGTCCAGAAACAAGAAGACTTCATGCTCTTATTCAGAAATGGAACACACTCCAGTTTCCAGGAAGAGAAAGAAAAGGTTTAGAAGTCATTTACACGATTCTCATAATTCTAAATCTTCTTTGGATAAGTCAACAGAATATGGGGTGAGTAGATATATTTAAATGCCATAGGAAATAATTTTGTACTGTGATGAAAATGAGTTAATGGTAGCTAAATAATGAATTTTCTTTGAACTTTTTACTTTATTGGATTTTTTCTATTCTGTGTAAACTTTATTTCTAAAATTTTCAATTGCATTACTTTTAGTTCACTTCATTATTTCTGTGTGTGCGTGCACAGACAAGCGTGATCATGCATGTGCACATGCGCACACGTGTATATGGCTCTTAGAGCACAGTTTGTGGGAGCTGGCTCCCTCCTCTCACCATGTGTGCACCAGTGACCAAACTCAGGTTGTCAGGCTTGGTGGCGAGAGTTTTCATAATTTTTGATGTTCCTTCTTATTCAATGTTTTTGCTTTTGTTACTAAAAGCAATTTTTGTTACTAAATAAATTAATATGCTAAAAGTCCTCTGATTCTAAAGTTTATTTAGCTCTGACTTTGCCATATATGAAAATTTCTTTATTTGATTCTTTAAAAATTACTTAGGCATCAGATTTAATAGGTTAACCACTGTATCACTGTACTTGGGTGACACTGCTAGGCATAGTTAGCACAGCTGTGTAGCTATCTTCATAGTCCTGTAAAAAGGTTCACTCTCATTTTTATGTTAGTCCTTGTGAACTTAAGTCTTAGAAGTGTGCCTTAGGGAAACCAAAATGGAAAAATGTAATTTCTCTACTTTTTAAAAAAATGTTCAGAAAGAAGAAAATGATTCCACAGCCTCCAGTAAGCTTGAGCAGTCAAGTGAAAGCCGTCACTGGGACTCAACACCACCTGTAGGACTTACACCTGAACCTTCAGAGAGCGAGGCCACTAATAATGTGTGCTCACTTGCCGTTCAAGAAGCAGGTGTCATTGCGGCCTCTGGGAGAGCCTGCTCACCCAGCAGAAGCCCGGAGAGCTCTGTTTCTCACAATGAGGTGGAGAGTTCTTCCCCGGCTGAGAAGGGCAAAGAGTTGACTATAGAAGAAAAGTCTCTTGTAGGTGGAAACAGTGAAGAGAACCAATTGTTGATCTCAGCTGAACCAAGTAAGTAAAAGATTGTAAAGACACTTGTTTTCAAAGCTTTACTCAGAGCTTTTGTTTTTCTCACAATTTGCTAAGGCTGTTTGGGCCTCTGGGAAGTACATTAACTTTAGGGAAAACATCCTCAGTGGTTCCCTTATGAATCATGTAATACTAATTTAGGTAAACAAATGGAGCCTGTAAACAGTAAGGTTTTTGTTTGTTTCTTTTCTTTTTTATTTTTTTTTATTTTTTTTTATTTTTTTTTATTTTTAATGTGTATGTGTGTTTTGTGCACCATATGCATTCCTGGTGCCCTCAGAGACCAAATGAGGGTGTCAAGATTCCTGGAACTGGAGTTGCAGGTGGTTGTGATAAAAATTACTGATACAAGAATTCAAAAGACTCTAAAGAGTCCACAGTGAGTTGCTTCTGTATCTTCTAGCCGTCCATTTCCCTTCCCGCAGGAAAGTGACGTGAAAGGACTTGGCACGATCTAGAATGATTTCACAGTACTCGGTTAGAACTAGACATTGTTCGTAACCTTGTCTATTGCTGTAACAGAACGCCTGATATAATTTCATGGTTAAAGATTGGACAGGGAATACAATTCAGTGGCACAGTGCTTGGTTAGCCTTTACAAGACTCTGGATCCAATCTCTAGCACAAGAGAAAGAGAAAGGGGAAGGAAAAAAAGAATAAAATCCTGATATTGGTTCAGAGTTGAGAGAGGGAGATGAGGAAAAGTTTTATTTTGACTTAAAGTTACCTAGACTTCTGTCTAGATTGAGTGGACCCAGTGCTTTGGGCTGCTGAGGGGTGCATGTTCTGGATGGCAAGAAGTATCAGGGAGCATACAGTAGAGCAAAACCACGTTTCATTCTCCAGGGAGCAAAGGGAATGGCTTGGACAGCAGCTCCTCTTGTGGCAAGCCCCAGTGACCTTGTCTAGTGACCTGGGGATCTTCCACTGCTAGGCCCCACCTCTGAAAGGCTCCATCTCATCTCAGAAGTAACACGCATGGGCCCAGGCTTTTAAGTTGCAAATCTTTGAGGACCACTCAATACCCAGAGTGTACCATGTTTACTTATGGCTTTAGTCATCTTTTAAATACATTTATTTTTTCAAAGGTAAGATTGTAGGAAGCTATTAAATAGTAATGCTGATGTAGAATCTGTATATAGCTATTACTAATCAGGTAGTGAACGATAGGTTAGATTTAAGCTGAATATATAGATATTTAGACTTTATATGATTATTAAAGATAATTCATTATTATAACACATTTAAAACACATTTTCCTTTTTAGTTGTTGTTTCCAGTGATGAAGAAGGACCCATTGAACGTAAGAATTCAGTAATTCTGAACTTACAGCCTAATCAAGAGTTTGAGATTGCAAGTGAAAATCAGGGGACTTCTGAAGTACATTTGTCAGAACTGCGACTGAGTGCATGTGAATCTGTACAGGTAATCTGTTTCTGCCTTCTCACAGAGTTGCAATTAAGTGTTACTTTAAAAAACATTTTTCATTGTTTCATTATCAAAGTTAAAACAATTCTTTTACATATTTACTTATTTGTGTGTATGTGTGTGGGGATGTGTGGGCCATGGCAGAGTTGTGGAGGTCAGAGGATAACCTTCAAGAGTTGTTCTCTTTATCCATTATATAGGTTCCAGGGATTAAGCTCAGTTGTTAGATTTAGTGGAAAGTACCCTTATCTTCTGGGTCATGTTCCAGCCCCCAATGAAATATTCTTATTTGTTGGGTAGCAGTCAGGTGAGAGAGAGGCATTAAAGTAAGTTTGAGACACAGTTCAAAATAGGTATAATGTCTTTCAACACCCATAAAATTAATCTCAAAGGAAATTGAAGAAGACACCAGAAAATGGATGATTTTCCATGCTCTTGGGTAGGTAGAATAAACAGTAAAAATGGCAATCTTAACCGAAACCAATCTATAGATTCAATGCAATGCCTATCAAAATTCCTGCAAAATGTTTTACAGACATCGAAAGAACAATATTCAACCTCATATGGAAAACCAAAAAACCCAGGATAGCCAAAACAATCCCGTACAATAAAAGAATTTCTAGAGGTATCACCATCCCTGACTTCAAACTCTATTATAGAGGCACAGTAATGAAAACAGCCTGGTATTGGCATAAAAACAGATAGGAGGACCAATGGAACTGAATTGAAGACGCGGATATCAATCCACACACCTATGAACACCTGATTTTTGACAAAGAAGCTAAAAATATAAAATGGAAAAAAGAAAGCGTATTTAAAATGGTGCTTGCGTGACTGGATATCAATATGTAGAAGAATGAAAATAGACCCATGTCTATCACTATGCACAAAACTCAAGTCCAAATGGATCAAAGACCGCAACATAAAACAAACCAAACTGAATCGCAGAGAACTGAAAGTGGGAAGTACACTTGAACACATTGGTACAGGAGACCAGTTCCTAAATATAACCCCAGCAGGACAGACACTGAGAGAAACAATTAATAAATGGGACCTCCTGAAACTGAGAAGCTTATATAAAGCAAAGGACATTGTCAACAAGACAAACAACAGCCTAAATAATGGAAAAAGATCTTCACCAACCCCACATAGAACAGAGGACTGATCTCCAAAAAGAACTCAAGAGACTTGACATCAAAAGAACAAACAATCCAATAAAAAATTGGGGTACAGACCTAAACAGAGAACCCTCAACAGAGGAATCTCCAGTGGCTGAAACACACTTAAGGAAATGTTCAAAATCCTTAGTCATCAGAGAAATGTAAATCAAAACAACTCTGAGATTCCATCTTAGACCTGTCAGAATGGCCAAGATCAAAAACGCTGATGACAGCTTATGCTTGAGAGGATGTGGAGTAAGGGGAACACTCCTCCATTGCTGGTGGGAGTGCAAACTTGTATAGCTGCTTTGGATATTAGTATGGCAATTTCTCAGAAAATTAGGAAACAATCTATTTCAAGACCGAGCAATACCCATACCGCTTTTGGGTATATACCCAAAGGAAGCTCATTTGTACTACAAGGACATGTGCTCAACTATGTTCATAGCAGCATTATTTGTAATAGCCAGAATGTAGAAACAACCTAGATGCCCTTCCATTGAAGAATGGATAAAGAAAATGTGGTTCTATTTACACAATAAAGAACTACTCAGTGGTAAAAAATAATGGCATCTTGAAATTTGTAGGCAAATGGATGGATCTAGAAAAAAACCATATTGAGTGAGGTAACCCAGACCCAGAAAGACAAATATTATATATACTCACTCATAAGTGGCTTTTAAATATAAAGCAAAGGAAAATGAGCCTGCAGTCCACAACCCCAGAGACAACAAAGAGGACCCTAAGAGGAAGTAGAAAAAGACAAGATCTCCTGAGTAAATTGGGAGGGTGTGGGTCACGGGAGAGGGTGAAAAGGGAGAGAGGAGGAAGGGAAGGAAATGGAGAAAAATGTATAGTGAAATAAAAACAATAAAAAAAGATAATTTTTACACATGCACATACAAAATCTAAAAATATCCAAGATTCAAAATAAGTTTAAAATCTATATTTTATTCAAAAATCTTAGTAACTCTTTTTTCACATTAAGAACAGCATAAAATTCTCTATTTTATTTATCCATTTATTTATTTATTTATTTATTTATTTTTTATTTAGCAAAAAGTTTTTTTTTTTTGCCGATTTTATTCTGTTGTCCACTAGTTGCCATCTCCACACGCTCATCAATGACAAGATTCATAAAGGGATCAAAGCCCCGAAGTATTCCTTGTACATGTCCGCCACCATTTAACTTCAATGATAATTTCTTGTCCATAAATTTCTTCAGTTCGGGAGGGTGGGCCTTGCTCATGGCGGCTCTTCAGCTGGCTTGGCACGATGGAAAGGAGCAGGTGGCCTTACAGACGCAGACCGGGTGCTGATGTCTCTCCATTTATTTATTTTTATTTCGTTTTTTAATTAAGAATTTTAAGTACAGTATTTCCTCATTTTACATAGCTATCCCCGTTCCCACTCCCTCCCCTCTTCTCACTTCCCCCACCTTTCCTCCACTCCACCTCACCATCGACTCCTCAGAAAGGGTAAGGCTTCCCATGGGGAGTCAACAAAGTCTGACACTTCACTTCGATGCAAGACCAAGACCCTCACCACTATATCTAGGCTAAACAAGGTATCCTGTAGAAGGAGCTGAGGGCTGTATTCCTGCCACCTGGCTCCTGGCCGCCTGGCTAGCTTATGCTTCAAAATAATTACACGGAAACTGTATTCTTTTAAACACTGCTTGGCCCGTTAGTTCTAGCCTCCCTTTTGCTAACTCTCACATCTTGATTAACCCATTTTTAATAATCTGTGTAGCACTACGAGGTGGTGGCTTACCAGGAAAGATTCAGCATGTCTGACCTGGCAGCAGGCTCCATTGCGTCTGACCCAGAGAGGAGAAGCATGATTGCCTCACTTTCCTCTTCCTCCCAGCATTCTGTTCTCTCTACTCCACCCACCTAAGGGCTGGCCTATCAAATGGTCAAGGCAGTTTCTTTATTAGTCAATGAAATCAACACAAAACAGAAGGCCCTCCCATATCAGTATCCCTCCAAAATAATATATTCCTAGATGTCACCAGGGATAAATCCTGGTCCCACTGCCAGTGACTCCCCAGACTTCCCAAGCCTCACAACTGTCCCTCACATTCAGTGGGCCTAACTTGGGCCTATGCAGGTTTGCCCATTATCAGTCCAGAGTCAGGGAGCTCTCAGTAGCTCAGGTCAACTGAAGAACAGCATAAAATTCTTTAATCATAATTTAAAGAAGAATTTTGTCTTTGATAAAACATAATTTTCATCTTTTTTGTAATTCTTAGAGATTTATACATGCATGATTTATTCTTTGTTAGGCATCATCTGAATTATGTTCATATAATCCCGACATGGAAAACATTTCCTGTATTAAACCTAATAGTGAAATGGATCTGAAACTGGATTTTGTATTTACTTCTCTGTATATTGGTAAAATAAAAGGAGCTTCAAAAGGTTGTGTCACGGTAAGTAAATCCTCTGACTTTTTATATAAAAAGTAACGTCTCACCACAGGATTGCCTAAAGACAAGCTGAAAAAGGACAGCAATAGACTTACCGAAATGGACAAGGGGAGGACCACACGGTTTCAACCCCACACAAAGAACTGCAGGCGGCTAAGAATGCTGCGAGCAGAAGAAATAGTCTTCCCCAGAGGAAACACGCTATCTAGTTGTCCAGTGTCAAGTGATCTGCTCAGAAGACAAGTCATGCAGCATTATTATACAAACTGAGCAGGTTATATTTAGAAATATATGTATATCTACATATACAAATATGCATGAAAACAATAATTAATGAACACAGGCTATGAATTTGAAAGAGAACAAGGAGGGATACATGGAAAGGCTTGGAGGGAAGAAAGGAAAGGGAGAAATGATGTAATTATAATCGCCAAAATAAAAGAAAAAACTATAAAAATATTAGTGACCACTTTTTCACTTTCAGAATAGTGTAAAGTTTGTCGTAGTGTAGGGGAAAACAAGAACCAAACAAAAAAATCTACATAAAGACCACAAATAATTTTGAATACAAAGACAGCAGCTGCTAATTTGGAATGTATATGATTTCATATTTCTCATACATGTACATATATATAAAGCAGTATTATGTGTATTACTCTGCAACTTACTACAATTATATTAATTTACTTCTTTCCATTTTGGAATGGGTATCTTTTACAATTTTCATTTGTTGTTCATTTCAATTGTCCTAATATTTTGCTTTAATTATCACTGGATTTTAGTTGGCCACAGTAGTACCCATTTGTGGTTTCTTTGGGAGGCTGAGGTGAGGTAATCACTTGAGGCTAGGAGCTCAGAACAAATTTATCTCTTACTGTAGGAAAGCAGTTTAATAAATCACTGTAATTTATGTACATGAAGAAAGACTACAAGGAATTCTATAGAGTATAGAATTATGATGAGAGAATATGTGACAGTTTTTCAAATTTAAACATAGGAAGTAACAGAAGGAAGAGGGGTAAAAATCTTAAAAATTTCTTGGTCTTCAAAAGATATTTTATATGCATTTTTCAGACAGAATTTATGATTTTTTTATAGCAGAAATGAAAGAAATGTTTTTGAGTAAATATATTAGATAATTAAGTTTAGTTTTTCAAACATCAGAGTACTTACTATGTTAGACATTACTGTAATGAAATAATTTTCTTACTATTCTGATAGTTACTGTTTAACTTTATTAGGAAATTAATAATGGAAAGTTATATAAATAAGAGCAGCTTTCTTCAGTTGGTCATTTGTCACTTTAGAGAGTGCAGCAGTAAATATAGTTTTTTTTTTCCCAAAAATGCTAACACTTGTGATGGTGAGAAAGGTTTACAAAGCACACTGATTTTCAGAGAGCTGTTTTGACTATTGAAGGATATTATATATTAGCATTGCCGTCAGCTTTATTCTTCTTCAAATAGATGTACTATTTCAAGAACACAGTATCACTTTCTTATCCAGGCTTTAAAATTTAGCTGGGAATAGATCACGTGTTGTAGTAACCACACAGAGATGTAGATCAGCATCATATTTTTGCCTAGTAGGTTTTGGTAGAACAAGAGCATTTAATGGTGTGGGAAGGAAGATGGAGTGCACGTGTAAGAAAGTTGACACCAGGACATTGTGGTACAGTGTTTCTTATTAATTTTGAAGTAATAGCGGTATGAACTCTGGAAAACAAACTATATTATCCCTAGAGGTAGTACTTTATATTTACTGAGCTGCATTTTCTGAGATTAGCAAAACATCAGAATTTGGGAAGATGTGTATTATAATATGTACGTATATTAAATAGTTATATGAAACTAACAGGAGGTATATTTGGTTACATTAAATTAGATTATCTTAATTGGATATATCTTTTTGTGGTAATAGTACCCTTGGGTTGAGGGCCTTATTAAATTAAATCTGCGAAAGGTTCAGTGACTTACCATTTACTTCCCTCACTATAGTGGTAGAAACAACAGAAGCAGAATTTGAAATCCAAACCCAGCACTTAGCCGGTATGCCCCATTGCCTCACATCCAGACTCAGCACTTAGCCGGTATGCCCCATTGAATTTGAAATCCAAACCCAGCACTTAGCCGGTATGCCCCATTGCCTCACATTTGGCTTCACTTTACCCTGTGGAATATGAGTTTAGTACTTTTAAAAAATATAATATGAAGTAATTTTTAAGTTCAGAAAATAAACGGGATACAAGTAAACCAGTGTTGTCATTGAACACTGTCACTGCCTAGAACTCACATGCTGTCCATTTGATTTTTATCTTGTGTTCACAAGTTTTATCTGTGAAATAGTCAACAGTTTCATAAATCTATTGATCAGAAGAGAAACTTAACCAAAGATTTACTTGTTAAATAAGGCAGATTTATTTGTTAGTAAGGGAAAAGCAATTGTCAAAAGACAAATCTGTTTTAGATAGTGTGTGTAAGGTTTTGTCTTGAACTATAAGTAGAACACTTATGCTGAACAGACACACAGAAGACCAGTGGAAATAGTGTAATGAAGTCAAAGGATCAGAAAGAGCAAGGAGCTCAGCCAGGAGTTCCTGAAAAGAACAAAGACGATAAAAGAGATGGCGATGCTCCACCGAAAGTTGCTCAGCAGAGGAGTGTGCTGGCTTGAGACTTAACTTTGCCATCCTTTGACAGGTGCATCACTGTTTTGAAGTCGGCTTTGTTAGACTTTTGTAGGTTTTTTGTTGTTGTTCTGTTTCTGTGTAGTAAAAATACTCTTCTGAGTTCTGTTAGTTTTCAAAGACAGAACTTCCCCAGCGGGTGGGCTATATCTATCTTCTGATACTTTTAATGTCTCATTACAAATAAATAGCATATTGGCACCTTTGTTTGATCAGTTCACTTGTGAGTTTGGTTAATCCCTAAGAGAATTCTTAGCTTCTTTGGAAATTGTTGCCTTATGTGGTCTCCTGACTTTCCTTTGGACATTGTCTTATTTCTTAGAATTTCAGAACATACTTTTGAAAAGCAGGGTGCTACCAATTTTTATAAGTGAGTATTCAGGTAAAGTTACTTGTACAGTTAGACACTCTCAACCTTCAAACTAAGTCTTTACATTGAGATAGTTCTTTGCTTTGATTCTTTAGTACTTTTACTACTGAACATTGAATAGTACTAAACACTTGAATACTAAGAAAATCTACTAGAGACAAACTTGGAGTAGTAACTCATTTACTCATTTTTTGTTTCATATTTTTTTTTTAGTTCACAACGAAGTATATTAAAATCCCATTTCAAGGTAAGCCATCTTCTCTTAATGACATTTTTTTTCCACTATAATTTTGAGTATAGAGTAATTTATTAGAAAAAGTTCTGAAATTTTTTCACAAGTTTACCATCACTTTTCAGTATAGAAGCTAAGTAAAGTGAAGGCAGTTTAATAATGTTTGGGCTTAACATTATTTGCAGTTCCAAAAAAATCCTTAAAATGCTTTACAGTACCAAAAAGAACATATTAATTCTCATTTTAATGAGTATAAATCAAATGATACTAAAATACTCTTGATGATTTCTTAGGATTAACAAAATAAAAATTTTACAGCACAAGTATTTTGCTATACACAAAAATGATTACAATAAGAACTAAAGGAAAAAAGTACACGAACATACATATTTGCATAGACAGAGAGGTTTTTTAATGCTCTATCTTCTCTAAGTAAAGCAGATGGAAATGTACTACAGCTTAAAGAGACATAGACTATTTTCTTATTTCCTAAACAAAAATTTTCCAAAGTAATTAGTGATGAAAAATAATAACTGATAGAGAATTCTCTTTAGAAAGTGAATTATAAAAAGAGCAAGGAAGAAAAATGTATGCACAAATGACACCAGATATGAACTAGAGTAAAAGAAGCATCATGGTGGACTGAAGATGTTATTGAAGTAGCTTCAGTTCCTTAGCTCCTGCATGTTCAGAATTGAGAACTCTGCTATGGTGAGAAGTCTAATGATTGGAGAGAACACATAATGCACACGATAACTTAATCGCCCTGGTTAGAAAGCACTAATCTGTTTAGAACTAATTATTGAGAGGTAATATACTGTTTTCCTTGTTCATGTTTGTCATATTGGTGAGACTTCATGGATGTAGCTTCTGACATCCATAGGAGACACAAACCCACAGCAAACTCCCTGATGTTCTGGCTCTTACAGTCTTTCTGCCCCTTCTTCTGCAGTGGTCCCTGAGCTGCAGATGTATATCAGTTGGCACTGGGATCCACAACTGTGTTTTGATCAGTTGTGGGTTTTCTGTAAATGCCTCTGTCTGTGTCAAAGAGAAGTTTTTTTGATGGGTGGTAAGAAATATACTTATCTGCGGGTATAAAGATAAATGTAGTTAGGGACAGTGGTAGTTACAGGTTACAGGTTCTGCTCAAAGATCTGTGACTTCAGTAGCTCTGGATAGTTGGCAAGGTTTCTAGATCCAAGCATGATTTCCCTCTTGGTGAGGATCTTAAGTCCTTTTAGAGAGCTGTTGGGTACCACCGAGGTCTGCGTGCCACTGCTTCAGCCTTCAGATTATTGTGCCAGGCTGGTAGTCATTGTGGTTCATATATATCAGAGCTGGGTCAGACTGTTGGTTGCCTCCCTATGAAGCCTGCATGGTGCCCTCTGGTCCATGAAAGCTAGTCCTCAGGGAGGAAGCATTCATTTCAGTTCAACACAGGAGCGTTTTGGCCCTGTGTCTGATGTGCATGGTGTCTTCAGCAATATGGACTTACCTTCCACCTCTCAGGAGCAGCTACGGGCAGAAGCCTGTACTATTTGGGAGTCCCTTGGATGACTCTGATGAACAACTCTGAAGAGGGTTTCTCATCCCTGGTGTTGGGGTGTTGGTAGATGGTCTTTGGGTCTTGAAGGGAGCGTTGTCAGCCTCAATGGGAAAGTTTCATTTAAACTATATAATTATGTTTATATATAGATTTACTATGTATTATAGATATTTTTAGATTGTAGTTAATAATGTGATTCTTTATGAGCTTTCGGATACCCTGTTATTTTACCCCCTTCTTTCTTCTGTATTTATCTCCCTCCCTAATTAGAAGCCCTCATTTTCTCATTTCCCCTTCACTTCCTTTCCCCTCGTTAATGCTTTCCCGAAATGATCCCTTTTTACTTTCCTGGCTTCTGCAGTAACTTCAGGCTGTGCACTTTTGGAGATTTGAAGCTAGAAACCTCCAATAAGAGACAACATGCTACCTTTTTCTCTCTGAGTCTGGCTACCTCATCCAATTTATCTTTTCTAGTTCTGACTAATAACCTGTAAAGTCATGATTTATTTATTTATTTCTTCACAGCTGAGTAGTATTCTATAATGTATGTGTACCATACTTTCATTATCCGTTTGTAGAGCATTTATGTTGTTTTCATTGCCATCTGTTTGAATAGAGCAGCAGTGAGCATGGCTGGGCAGGAGTCTGTGGAGGATGATATCATGTTTTCAGCATGTGTCAAGAAGTTAGGATTTCTTTACTGTCCACCTCTTTTTCAGATGAGTTAGTATTATTTAGTTTTTAATTTATAATTACATCATTTCCTCCCTTAAACTACTTTCATGCACCCCTGTTTCTCTCTTTCAAATTCATGGCCTTTTTTTCTTTAATACACACACACACACTCTCTCTCTCTCTCTCTCTCTCTCTCTCACACACACACACACACACACACACACACTCTTTCTCTCTCTCTCTCTCTCTCACACACACACACACACACACACACTCTTTCTCTCTCTCTCTCTCTCTCACACACACACACACACACACACATGCACACACTCCTAAATATATCACTAAAACTTGTTTAGTCTCTGTAATGTTACTTGTATATATGTTTTTAGGGCTGACAATTTGATATTGGATAACCATTTGGTATGTTCTTCCTTGGGGAAGGCTACTTCTTTCATTCTCATCATTTCTTAGATGATAATTTAATTAAATTTTTCTTTGGCAATTTCACACATATTCCTCCCCAAATTTCTTTTGGGCATGGTGTTTCATCACAGCAATAGAAACCCTTACTATGACATACAGTATATCAATAAGTATCAGAGATGGTATATTCCTAAATAGATTACTTTTTAAATTGCTTGTTTTATTTATTTCAGTGTCCACGAATGAGGTTTTGCTGTCAGTGGACACCACTCATTTAAAGAGGTTTGGGTTATGGAAAAGCAAGGACGATGATCACAGTGGGAGAAGCCATGCTATCCTCTTCCTCTGGGTTTCCTCTAAGTATCTTCAAGAGATTCAGACCCAGCTGGAAAACCCCATGTTAAGCCAGCAATGTGAGTATAAAAATCATTCCTAAATTTTAGGAGCGCCTCAAAACTTACGTGTGAAGTAAGCTTTCTATGCTAACTTAATAGACTATCTTTATTTCATTGGATTGAAATTAATTTCTTTGAATTAAAAATGTTATCCATTAATACTAGATAAATTATTTTACTTATCCACTTGATTTTGCCTGGTAATTTTATTCAGTTATGGAAAATTATCATCAAAAATGAAAAAGTCTTATATAACATCTACTTTGAAGATAAAACATTTTTGTACTATTAAAACTATATTTTAGTTATATATGGTTATATTTCTTTTTTGATTAGCTGTTTTACTTAGTTTATAAAACAATTGTTTTATTATGACATTTTCATATTTAATGTACTTTTTATTTGTGCTCCATTTCCTATTCTTCTTTCCTGCTGTCCCCTTCCACCTCCAAAGAGTCCTCTTGCTTTTCTGCCATGTGTATCTGGCAGGTGCATGATTAACGTATAGAAAAGTTGCTGGTTTTCATGTTGGTTTTGTTTACTATTCATTTGATGAGAGTTTTTATCAGATCTAAGATTTTTTGGGTGGAATATTTAAATTATAAGATCATATCACCTGCAAATGAAGATAATTTGACTTCTTCCTTTCCTGCCATTATCACTTTTATTTCTTTCTCTTGCCTTATTACTCTGGGTAAGACTTCATTTCCGTACCTGACAAGAGTGAAGAGAGCACCCTAACCTTTCGGATTTGAGGGATACTTTCCGTGTTCCTATGGAGTATAGTTTCAGGCATAGGATTGGTATATGTAGCTTTTATTGTGTTGAAGAATATTCTATTTATTATTGGTTTCTTCAAGTCAAAAGGGTGTTTTTTTTTGTCAAAGCCTTTTCTGCCTTGATTAATATGATCTGTGATTTCTGCCATTAATATATTTATACATTTGTATTACAGTTATTGATTGCATTTGTATTGCAGTCACTGATTTGCATATGTTGAACCATCCTCGTCCCCCTGCAATAGTATCAGCATGGTCATGATATTGTTATATCAGCATGTCTATGAATTCAGTTTGCAGGGACTTGTTTGAGTGATTGATTTTTATGTCTGTGTTTATTAGAAAATTTAGTGTATAGTTTTCTTACGTGTTGTGCCCTCATTTGATTTTGATACCAGAGTGATCCTGGCTGTGTACATTGAAGTAGTGTTCCTTCTTTCTATTTTGTGGAATTCTCTGAGGAGCATTAGTGTTAAACCCTCCCTCCCTCCCTCCCTCCCTCCCTCCCCTCCCCCTCCCTCTCTCCCTCCCTCCCCCCTCCCTCTCTCCCTCCGTGTGTGTGTGTGTGTGTGTGTGTGTGTGTGTGTGTGTGTGTGTGTTTACCTGTGTTTTTATATACTTTGTGCAGGTGCCCATGGAAACCAAAAGAGTGTGTCAGATCCCCCAATTTTGAGTTTCAGGTGGTTGTGAGCTACTTAATGTGGTGTTGGGAACCAAAGTCAAGTTTTTTGGAAGGGCAGAAATCCTCTGAACTGTCGAGCCATCTCTCTAGCTCTGTTGCTTATTTTTTTTAATGGTCTGGAAGAATAGGGTAGTGAATCTGAATGGCCCTGTGCTTTTCTTTGTCGGGATATGCCTTAGTATTTCTTCAACCTTGTTGCTTGTGATAGATCTCGTTATTTTTTTTATATTATGTGTTCTTTAATTACCCTTGACAGGTCATACTTACCTAGAAATTTGCTCGTTTCTTCTAAATAATTCCAGGGTTTTAGAATATGTTTTCAAAGTATCCCATAAAGGTCCCTTGGATTTCATTGATATCTTTTGTAATGGTTCCCTTTCATATCTAATTTTACTCATCTATGACTTCTCTTTGTTTTGATCAGGTTGAATATTTCTGAACTTTTTTCTTTTTTTTACATTTATTTATTTATGTGTGTGTATGTGCGTGAGTGTGCGTGAGTGTGCGTGCATCACACACCACACATGCATACGCCTCAAGGCCTGTGAGGAGGTCGGAGGACATGTTTTGAGTATCACTTCTCTTCTGCCATGTGGGTCCTGGGGATAAAACTCTGTCTTCAGGCTTGGTGGCGGCCTTCTTGTTTTACCCCGGAATCATCCCACCAGTCCCAGTCTATTTTGTCTAAGCCCCAACCGTCCTTGATTCTTTGCTCTGTTCTTCTACTATTTAATGAAGTTCGCCCTGGCCCTTACTTCTTTTCACCTACTTCCTGTTGGTTTGGCTTGTTCTTGTTTCCTGAGGCTCTCGAACGCACCATTGCCTTGTTTATTTGATAGCTCTCTGATTTTTTTTTTAATTTGATGTAAGGATTCACAGCTGTAAACTCTTAGAACTGCCTTTGCAGTATCCCAATGGTTCTGATAACTTGTGTTTCCATTTCTTGACTCTAGGAATTAAAAAATTAATTCCTACCTGATTTCTTTAGTGACCCAGTGGTTGGTCACTACAAGAGTTCAATCTCCAAGTATTTGAGTTTCTCTCTTGCTCTGGATTTATGGTTTTATTCATCTTGCCATATGATCTGATGCAAGAAATTTTTTTATTTCTTTTGTATTTGTTAAGGCTTACTTTATGGGCTGAAGTGTGACTTTAGAGTAAGTTACGTTATCCATGGTTACGTTTCCTAAGAGATTTTTTTTGCCCATTATTTTATTATAAAGTGTGACACAATAACCAAGTTAAATAAATTATAGATTTTTTATATTATGTATGTTTTCTTAGTTTCTGATAAATAAGTTCAGCTTATATACATATCAGACTTCTAAGACTTGATATGAGTGCTTTTTTGTTTTCTGAGAGCACATACATAGCTACATATATGTATCTTGAAGTAATAACTTTATTTTTCAACTCCTAGTGGTATCTGGTTTAGAATTAAATAAAGTTAGTAATATTAGTTCTGACCTTTTTGATCTTGTTCTCCCCTCTTCTTTTTGAATATATACTAGATGTTGTAGGGGGTTAAATTTTATCCTCATAAAAGTAATAGTTTCCTGTTCTAATTACATATAATAGAGAAATTCATAATCAGATAAGAGGCTGTGGAATTATAAAGAGCTATTTCTAATCTTGGGTGGATAATAATATTTTTGTGTGTGTGTGACCATTATTGAAGTGGTTGGTTAAGGAAGGAAGGAAGGAGTGTTTAATCAGAATGGTTTTTTAGATGGTAGGTGGATCTGTGACAGAGGCTAGACTAAAATAAATACTGGCTTAATTATCATTCATTCATTTATACACTCATAAGCAAATACTTACTAGCACTTTTTGAATGATAGGTATAGTCAGTATCACTTGGAATTTTAATTTCTGTGAAGTAGAATAGGAACCTAATAGTGTGAATTTGGGCTTTTGATTTCCAGCTGCCTATTTTGGAATTTAAACTTGTCTGTTATTATTTAACATACAAAATATGTGGTTGGGTTTTACATAAAACCCATACTGTTGGGGAGGGAAGAGATAGGGAGGAGAGCAGAGAAAAATGTAGAGCTCAATAAAAAAAATAATAATAAAATCCTTACTGTTATTCACAATTAGATTAATTACAGTTGTCTTTTTAAAAGTATTGATAAAAATTGATTTCTTTTTTTCTTTTATAGCAAAAGCCAGTGAATTCATTTTCCTTGAGTTAAACAGTTCCGTTTCACAAAAAGAAGAATTGAAATTGAAAGATATTATGATGGAAATAAGTAAGACCAATGGAGAATCAGAACTCTCCTATCCGTTGTCTTGGGTTCAGGCATTTCCTTTGTTTCAGGATATCCCTTCAAAAGAAAGCTCTTTCGTTCACTATTACTGTGCTTCAACTTGCTCTTTCCCTGTTGCTGCTGATACAGAAACGAGGAGGAAGTCACTATCTCAGGTTAGCATACGGCCAACACAACTGACTGAGGGTAGAGAGGTAGAAATTGGTTTACTGTTTAAAATGCTGTTTTGTTAAAAGGATACAAGAACATAAACGAATTTCCAGTGTCAAAGCTGGAAAGTTTCTTCAGCAGAATCAGCAGTAATAGGATGAGATGGTAACCAAAGGACAGCATAGACATCTCTGGGTCTGTGCTATGCAGATATGGAGTGAAAGCTGAATGAATTGTAAGTGGTAGGGACAGTGCTTCAAGTAGAATTCAATAATAATAAAAAATAAAGGAAATACAAAGTCACAACTAAAGCACTTTATTTATGATTGTTGCTGGCCGGCCAGCTTCACGAATACATTATGAATTTAATGTGTGAAAACTCATAGAGAACTACATGTGTATAACCTCAAGTCCCATACTCCACTCTTCGTTAAATTAGAAAATGAAAGGTAGTTCTCTGTAGTGGAGAGACCTGGCGGACGTCCCTGGAGCCAAGCCCTCATAGTTGACACTATATCCAGTAAGGCATGCCCCTCACATCGAGCACGCAAACCACGTCTGTGTCCCCATAATGTACAGTCCAGATCTGATGGCTAGTGAAAGGAGGAGACAGACCCAGCTATAAAACACATGGCCATTATTCTCTGAACTACCAGGTGCTGAAGCAGGAAAAGGCTGAGGAATTAGGGGATCCCGAAATAGAAAAAAGGACATTAATAGGAATAGTAGTGAAATCAGACCAAAGTCCTTAGCTGATATTCTCTCAGTGTTACTTTTTAGTTTTGATAGTCAGATTTTTACTGGTTTCTGCTATTAAGATTAGGAGGACAGAGTTTTCCTTTTTTCAACATTCTGTAAGTCCAACATTATCTCAAAAGAATAGTAATTAAAATTGTTATGTTTGGTGACCTTTTAGATAGCTTGTTGAGTGAAACACTTGTGCAAGTTTCTGGAAGGAGAGAACCAACTTCCATACACATGCTGTGGCACATGCATGCCCATGCATATACATCATAAACGTATGTGCAATGTTAATGGTAAATAAATAAAAATAGGTTATGCCCTTTTATATATTGGTAGTATGTGACTTACATAATTGTCAATTATGTCTAGAAGAAAAATATTTCCTAAGTAGCTATGGCAAACACATTTGTTCACATACATACACACACACACACACAAAGCCCATAGATACCCATAATAGTGGTGGGTGAAGCAGAAAGCCTAACTATATTGCATATACAAATTTATATATTACTTTTCATTTAATAATAGAATACCAGTTATTGTATGAGTTCAGTGTCCTTTAATTTAAAGTTTTATTTTTTCCTAATATTATCTACCTTTTTTGATTATTTTGAACCACAAAGTTAAATTCTTTAATTGTGGAACTCATACCTGGAAGTAGGACTTTAGATTAAACTTCAGTCCTTGTAGTGCATATGAAATCTTTTGATAAAAAGTAAACTTTTTCATTTGATTATCTATGTGTAGAAAATTTAAAAGTGTAGTTGTTACTATTTGATATACCTTTCTTTTAGTAATAGTGTTTTCAGTAATAAATCTAGATTTTACCTCTGTGGTTTTCAAAACTAATACTTGTTTTTCTGTACTCTTTTTTTCCAGCCCTCAAATTCAGATGTTATCAAGCCTACTTACACTTTCCTACAGAAGCAGAGCAGTGGTTGCTACTCACTTTCTATTACTTCAAATCCAGATGAAGAATGGCGAGAAGTCAGGCACACTGGACCCGTTCAGAAGTAGGAGCTGCGTCCTGACCTGTTTGTAGCAGGGTTGTAGTGGTTGTAGAAGGAGGAGCTGCATCCTGACCTGTTTGTAGCAGGGTTGTAGTGGTTGCTGTAGAACTAGGAGCTGCGTGGTAACCTGTTTGTAGTGGTGTTGTGGTGGTTGTTGTAGAAGTAGGAACCCCGTCCTGACCTGTTTGTAGCAGGGTTGTAGTGGTTGCTTGCACTTACACTGTGACTTTTTTTTTTTTTAGAGTGAGATTTAATATTTATTTAGGGGGTTATGGAGGGAAAAGGGAGAAGGGGGCAGAGAGAGAGAGAGAGAGGGGAAGAGAAAGAGAAGGGAAAGCGGGGGAAACACGCGTGCGTGCCAGGAGAGCTTATACTGTGACTTTTAAGCATGTCACCTGTTGAAATGGTTTGAGTTTGACTTGTGTACTCGTAGCTAGTGATGGAAATAATTTTATGAGGCAATACAAATGATCATGAAAATAATAGGTGTCATTTAATTTCATTTTGTGTCTCTATGAAAAACACGACTCATATTGGAAATTAAAGAACTTATTGAGAATCTTGGAGTAGCAATGTATGGTTTTGGAAATTGTGCCTCTTATAGATGAATACATGATAAAGAAATGAATTTGCTTTTTAGACTATTTTTCAGTTTAGGTGCTTTGGTGTTTATTTAAGTTCTCTTTTTAAAGATGCTGCTTTTATATGTTTTCTGCTTCTGGGAAGGCAGAGTATTCTGTACATTGGAGATTACTTATGCCACCTTTGAGTATTTATTCCCTTTTTTTTTTTTTAAAGCAGTTGAAAGCACAGGATAAGGCACTGGTTACATAGAAAGTATCAAATTAGATTTAAATTTTTCAGTTTCTTGTTTAAATGCTTTGGTATCAAGATGAAACCACCTGTGGATGACACTTGGTTTCATGACATTTTTCTGGCATAAGCAATATAAAATTTATTTATTAAATTATTAAATAATTATATTATTTTTTATTAAATTTTGTTTATTTTATTAATTTTTTAAATTAAATTATTACATTTGCTCATCAAATGGTGCCCTAACAATTCCAGAGTTATAGCAGAAGTCACTTCTGGTTTTCCCTCTAACTTTCAAGGGAGTGTGCCTGAGAGTGCTTCTGCATTGTCACCTCTCCTCTGCCACTTTCCAGCTATGCTCCGATTGTTTCCTTTATGTTCTGGTAGGTTTGCGCTGTAAGCACTTTCTTAGGGGGTGTGTGCCCTAAGCTTCCTCGTTACTTCTCTGTTATCCACCTCTGGCCACCAGAAAGATGGAGTGGTTTTGAGTACTGGATTAGAGTTTGGAGTGTGTATTAGACATTAGTCTTCTGAACTAGCCCCTAGGAGTTAATGGAAAGGAAAAACTAATGGCCAGTGTACCATAGGAGATTTATGAAAGTATAGGAAAGTATAATCGGTTATGTCTTGATATTTTACCATATAAATTTTTTTTTGGTTCTGTTTGTATTTATTTATTTATTTAGATTTTGGTTTTTTGAGCCATGGTTTCTCTGTAGCTTTGGATACTGTCCTGGAATGCACTTTGTAGACCATGCTGGCTTCAACCTCACAGAGATCACCTGCCTCCACCTCCATAAGTGCTGGGATTAAAGGCGTGCACCACCGTTGCCCAATTTACCATATAGAGTTTAGCTATAGATATTACTGCCTAGTGGCTGTTTCATGAGAACTTTCTTAATTAATGCTATATATTTTTTTAATTTATTTTTTCTTGGAAAAAAAAATTTCCGCCTCCTCCCATCCTCCCATTTCCCTCTCCTTCCTCCCACTCCACTCCCCCACCCCTCACTCCTTTCCCCCTCCCTCTCCAGACCGAAGAGCAGTCAGGTGGAAAGTCCAAGGTCCTCCCCCCTCCATCTAGGTCTAGGAAGGTGAGCATCCAAACTGGCTAGGCTCCCACAAAGCCAGAACATGAAGTAGGATCAAACCCCAGTGCCATTGTCTTTGGCTTCTCATCAGTCCTCATTATTAATGTAACTTATATAAATATATTACATGTTATGTATAAATATACTTTATGTAATATAAATTATACTTTAAATTATTTTTATTTTTTAAAGGTTGATTGTTTATCCTCCACCACCTACCAAGGGGGGCTTGGGAGTAACTAATGAAGATTTGGAATGTTTAGAAGAAGGAGAATTTCTTAACGATGTAATCATTGACTTTTATCTTAAGTAAGTACAATAATGATTTCATTTGTTTTAAAGGTTTTACTGTAAAATTTAAACGCTTTTTTTTCAGTTGTACTCAGGATTGAACCTAGAGCCTTTTGCATATTAAGAAAGAACTCTGCTGTTGAGCTGTTCCCCTGCCTGAAAATAAGTATCTGTATCTGAACTATTTTTAATTTTAGTTAAGAGTAACTTGGCAAGATTTCAGATTCAGAAAGCATTTTGCCTACCAGAAAGAATTTTACTGAAGTTGACTAATTCAGTTGTATTCTCTCACGATCTGTAGACACTACACATGTCAGAAGAGTTATTGCTTGCTGTTTCGACTTAGTTTTTAATGTGTTGATTTTTTGATGTGTACTTTTTGAACACTCTGTATTGTGGTGAAGGAAATATTTACAAAATTCCAAACACTTTGGGGATGGAAAAGAAACAACTCTTTTCATCTATCTTTCGTTAGTGTTCTGGAGGCGATAGGACCTAAGGAATGGAGCTGATAAGCGAGGGAGACTAAAGTCTCATGCTTTATTCAGAGCATCAGACAGTCTATACGGTCACCTGAGTAAAGGTCGAGCGTATACAGTCACAAGGACAAGGCACACATGGCTAAACATGCTTTTCCATAGAGTATATAAAGGCTAGTTTAAACATTTAGTTGAATAACAACAGCAAGCAATAATCAGTAATCTGAAGTAAACTCAGTCCCATCTGCTATCCCTGGGAGGAGCGTGAAAACACATTCTATGTGTTTGAAGAAACAGGTCACTGCACTCTTGTTTTCTTGGAGTGTCTCACAAACATGGCTCTTCTTCACATGGCTCCATTTCTGGACTGTGTTCTGATTACCATTATGCATTCTGACAGTTAACTGTCATTTGGAAAATCCATCATGATTGCAGTAAAATTTTAAACTTAAAAAAAAAAAAAAGTCAACTTTCTGGGCAGTGATGGCACATGCCTTTAATCCTAGCACTCAGAAGGCAGAGACAGGCAGATAGATCTCTGTGAGTTTGAGGCCAGCCTGCTCTACAGAGCGCGTTCCAAAGCTACATAGAAACCCTGTCTCCAAAAAAAGAAGGAAATAAAAAAAGGCAACATGTTGAATAGAAAAAGTTTTCAGGAATAGCTATGAAAGCCCTTTAAACGTCCATGCAATCCAGGTGTAGGGGAACAGCCCTTTAATCTTGGCATCCACGGGGCTGAAATTCAAGGCCAGACCAGGCTATATGATGCAATAAGCCTGTCTTAATAAACCCAAATAAAGCCTAACTAAAATACAAAAACCAAAACAAAACAAGAACACAAGTAATTCCTAAAACTTTTTTGTGCAAAGAAAATTTGTTTTTAGTCTTCATTTTGCACTATATCTCTAGACTAAAAATTTCTAGCACTCAATTGAAAGATCTAATTTTTTTAAAGATTATGAATTTGTTATCATTTGGACTCACTTTTAGTCATAATTTTATTCTAGTCACAAAGGCTCAGAATCTCACATTATTACATATTTATAAAGATATACTTTACAGTGTCTAGAAATTCAGTTTGAATCTTTTTTATATCTTCCACTTGGGAATGCAATTCTGATAATTTCATGTATTTTTGTTTGGTCTGTGTAAATTATGAATTGGCATCATTGCTGGTTTTTCTCTTTTGGCTTTTTGAGAGTTCCTCTGTGTAACCCTGGCTGTCCTGTAACTCTGTAGACCAGGCTGGCCTCGAACTCACAGAGATCTGCCTGCCTCTGCCTCCCATGTGCTGGGATTAAGGTGTGTGCTACCATTGCTCAGCAGTTTTCTTTATGAGTCATGCTTTGTAACTTTGAATGCTTTATGATTTTTGTTGATGATTAAGTTTTGTTTCGTTTCTATAAATGTGTCAGTTTTTAAGACACAGTTACAATACCTGGAAGTAGTTTGGTAATTTCAAGTCTTGTTTTAAAGATAGTTATCCTTATCACTTGCTAAAATGAGGCCAACAAACTGATTTCTGTTACCAAGGAGAGACTCACCTGAGTACTGTGTCCTGTGTCATGAATTATGACATTGCCCAGTTTTACTGGCAGGAGTATATTCCATTCTTCATCTGGGTGAATTCTGGCTCCCTTCCCTGTTTTTACTTTGGGATATTGTTCTCTAACTTGAATACTTTCCTTACCCCAACACAAACACACACACACACACACACACACACACACACACACACACCAGAGCTACCCTGAAGATACAAGGAGCTGCAAGCTGGCCTGAGTTCTCTGACACACACCCACCCACCCACCCACCCACCCACCCAGGGCTACCCTGAAGATACAAGGAGCTGCAAGCTGTCCTGAGTTCTCTCTCTCTACCCTTTTTCTTTCCTGTGCTCTAATTTATACATTAATCACATTCACATGATTATTTGGTCAACATTTCCTTCTATTTTTACTTCTTTAAGTTGCAGATACTACCCTTCTACTGTGTGTCCTATGTAAATGTGCCGCTTAATACATGTTAGGAACTTGGTAAATACTTATTAAATAAGGGTGCAATTTCTAATTTAAGGGGTAGTTTTGGAAGGCAAGAAATAACTAAAATAACTAAAAGAGAAGCTGGAAGCCCAAATCATAGAAAAATGCAAAATTTCTTTGAATTTAGCTGGATATAACAGTAATTTTTAGTTTATAAGAGGTAACTGAAGAAAATGAGTAAAATCTAAACACAGTTTACTTTGTGGGCTTGCTCCTTTACAGGTATCTGCTGCTGGAGAAGGCTTCAGATGAACTTGTTGAACGAAGTCACATTTTTAGTAGCTTTTTCTATAAATGTTTGACCAGAAAGGAAAATAATTTAACAGAAGATAATCCAGATCTCTCGTAAGTCAGTCTAATGTAATTAAGGTTTTAAAGGAAGTTATTGTGTGTATATGTGTGTATCATGCGTGTGAAGGTACAATTTGAGAGAGAGAGTCCGTTCTCTCCTTCTACCATATGGAGCCTGGGGATTGAACGAAAGTCACCAGGCTTGGCAGCAGGTGTGGCAATCAACGGAGCCAGCTCTCTAACTCTTAAGTTTTAAGGTAAAGGAGACTGCTATTTTCATGCTCCGAGTGAAGTGTCTTCATTGTACTAACCCCAAGAGCAAGCGTATTAACAGTTTTGCAGGTCCCTGGTTTGTCAGCCGTGAGAACCATTTTTATCCTTTCACTGTTCGCTCTGTAAGAGGGAGGTGGTGTGATGCTGGTTCTTGGCGGCTGCATTTTCAGTGCGGATACTCGAAGTTAAGAGAGCAAGGAATGAAAAACCAGACTATTTCTTCCCTATCATTTTTACTTTTGATGTGGTTTTTACCAGAGGTTGTATTTCCTCTGCACATATCTCTTACTGGACATGGCTGCTGGCCCTTTAACTTCCACTTGGGGGCACTGCTGCTTTCTTTACTGTCCTCCCTAGACTAGAGCAGTACCTGCTGTGCTAATCTCTGATCACCTCACTGGCCTTTTAAACATGTGTACTTTCCTGCGTTATATTCTGTAACAAAGATGTAGGGCTGTGGTTTTTTTTTTTTTGATTAGTTCCTTGTTGACATGCTACTTTTCATTAAGTTAGTATAATATAATATGAAAACCATTTTTATTTGTGCAATTTTGCTAAATTTCTCTATTCAGTATTTTTTTAAACTATGTCTTGTTTAGGAATTAAAGCTATTGGGCAGTGGATAGGACTAGGCAAAAATGAAGAGGTGCTTACTATTTATTAGATAGTAGAAACTCAGATACTTTACAAACTCTTGCCCATGCCCAGCAATCTGTATTAGAACCTGATGAATGGATCCCAGAGTTTTTATTTTTATTTTTTAAATATCTGTCTTCCATTGTTTTATTCATTTTACATACCAATTCCAGTTAGCACTCCCTCCCCTCCTCCCATTCCCTCTACCTTCCCACCCCCATCCATTCCTCAGAGAGGGTAAGGCACATTGCTTTGAGGAAGTACCAAGGCCCTCCCTTCTATGTCTAGGCTGAGCAAGGTATCCATCCAAAGAGAATGGGTTTCAAAAAGCCAGTACAAGCAGTAGGGATAAATTCTGGTGTCACTGCCAGTGGCCCTGCAATCTGCCCAGCCATACAACTGTCACCCACATTCAGAGGATCTAGTTTGGACCTATGTTGGTTCCTTCCCTGTCTGGAAAGAGTCGGTGAGCTCCCATTAGCTCAGGTAAGCTGTTTCAGTTGGTGTCCCCATCATGGTCTTGACCTTTTTGCTCATATTCTCACTCCTCCCACTCTTCAACTGGACTTTGGGAGCTCAGTCCGGTGCTTAGATGTGCATCTTCTTCCATCAGGTGCTGGATGAAAGTTCTATGGTGACATTTAAGATAGTCATCAATCTGACTGCAGAACAAGGCCAGTTAAGGCAGCCTCTCCACTATTTCTTAAGGTCTTTGCTGGGGTCATCCTTGTGGATTCCTGGGAATTTCTCTAAGTGCCAAGTTTCTTGCTAGCCCCATAATGGCTCCTTCAATCAAGATGTCTCTTTCCTTGCTCTCATCTCTGTCCTTCCTCTATCTTGACTATGCCGTTCCCTCAAGTTCTCCTCTGCTCTCCCCTTCTCTCCTCTTCCTCCTCTCCTTCTGCTCTCCCTTCTGCCCCCCACCCTGTGCCCATTTTCTTTGTAGATTTTTTTTAACATCCAAAATTGTTTTGCTGTAATTCCCCCAATGGTTTAAAAAAAAAAGCATAACATGTGTGTATGTATGTGTGTGTTCAAGGTGGCTATTCTAGGTGATTTAATATAAAACTCTTTGTGCCTTTTTTGACATTGTATTTAGTTATTTCTTCTGTGTTTTTGTTTCCCTCCTTTAAATTATAAATTGTTTCAGATGAGCTCAGGTTATTTTCTTTATTTGTTCTTTGGAAGCGAACAAATATCTGCTGAAGAACTAAAAGGAAAATGGATGAGGATCAGTGGGTGCTCTTAGCCTTGTCCTGTAATTTCTTTATGTGTGAAATGAAGGGAGATGAAGTTTATCTTTTAAAATTCAAGATAAAAAGCCACTTACCACAGAGAGAACGGCTGGGTGATTTTGTTAGGTTTGATGATACTTTACATCACCCCCAAGTGGAGCAAAGCAGAAAGAGGTAGGTTTGAGTGTGCTTATGATCAGTTGCTGAGCCACTTTGGGATCTACCAAACATTTAGCAGTGTGCTGCCTTTACTCTGTTTATTCCATTACTGTTTATCGTAATCAGACATAAGAACAGTTAAATATATTTCTGGTATGTTAAATTATATACTTTGAAGTCAGTGGTTTAATAAACCTCACAACTTTTAAAATAAATCTACATGTTTTTCATATTCCTAGAATGGCTCAGAGAAGACATAAGAGAGTGAGGACGTGGACCCGTCACATAAACATCTTTAATAAAGACTACATCTTTGTACCTGTAAATGAGTCGTGAGTACTTTTGATTATTTGAAAACCAGTTAGGATTCAAGAAAACTACTCGAGGTATAATCAGTAAAAAGTATGGCATATATATAAATTCAAAGATCACTTAAGTTTTTAATAGAAAAATGATAAATTTCTTCAGTGTTATAATAATCAAAACAATTAATTTTTTTGTCTTAAGAAATATTTTGTAAACTAAAAATATCAGAAGAGAATACATTTCTTAAGTTCTGATACAAAAAAGTGATGTTATTGGTCTCTTTGTTAATAGAGATCCTGAAAATAAAACACTGTATGCATGAAGGTAGATGACATTTGAACTATTCGAACAGTGCATTACAAACGTTCATCTGTGGCTCGGTAAATTGTGTCTGTTAGTGTGAACTGTGTGCTCCATCTTCCATGAGAGTTTATCACATCTGATCCCACAGGTGGAGCTCTAGAAAAGTCTTCTGTGTTGTGTAGATTTGGCGTGTTATTGAAATTGCTGTCCTTTTCAACAGGTCTCACTGGTATCTCGCAGTCATTTGTTTTCCATGGTTAGAAGAGGCTGTGTATGAAGACTGTCCACAAACTGCATCCCAACAGTCCCAGGATCAACAATCTCAACATGACAACAAAATAATAGGTGATAGGCATTGCTAATAATAACAACCACATTAACAAGTAGATTGATTGAAACAATAAGAAGTTAACAGCCTACCTATTTATTATTTTATTAAAAGGAGTACAAAATGTTTGAAATTCTCACGACACCCAGCATTATACAAAATGCCATACTGTTGATGCTAAGTTTTATTATAGCATTTTAAGAGACTAGCTTTGCTAACATGACTCAGAACTCATGGTATGACTCTCCATGCATAGCTTAAAGTCTCTAAGTTAACACTTCTTATATACTAGTAATTCAGAACAAAGTTAATAGAAATTATAGAAATTCTTCTATAATTTTCTTGTGACACGGAATTTTAAGTAAGAAAATAAGCCCATTTCTTTGAAAAATAAATAAAAAATTAAATGTTTTGTAGCTGTAACATAAATAGCAAGCAAAATTGGTAATAGCTTTTCTCACTTATGCTATCTAGAACCTGGGGAGGGGGAACCTGTTGGGGCACCTGTTTATTTTCTGTCCTTTCTTATCCTCTGAGCTTTAAAAGTTAGAACCATGATGTGAAAAGTTCACTTTAACATTTTTATTATTTTGGTAACATTTGAAGTTAGTCTTTTGGGAGGAAATGGGCCCATTCAATTTGTATTTAAGGTTTTCTTTCTGAGGTTTCTATATCATGTGATAACAGCCAACCCTTAAACAGTTTTATCCGTTGACTAAGTTTTCTCAAAATACTGACCATAGGAACTATTTTTTCTTTAATTAGTACTGTGGATAGATCTTGAAGCTCAGATTATCTAAGTTATCTGTGCTAACACACACCAAAGACTCATAGTGACTTCTTTGTTATTAGACAATGATCTGCGTCCCACTTCAGTGGTGTCCAGTGCCGAGGATTCCCAGGTAAGTTTGTTCTGCGCAGACATGGAGAACGGAAGACTCTTAACAGTGACAACCTTAACTATAAAATATGTTATAATAAAATATGTCATGCCTAAGTGGATGGAGATGGGATTAATGGCTCATAATTCAATTGTGCTCCTTTTTGATTACTTCAACAGTTTTTGGGAAAGAACACGAAGTTACCATTCTTGCTGAGTTGCTAAGATTGTGTCAGCTTCCTCTCTCAGAGGTTTATTGTGTGTCCTTTAGAGAAATAGCGGCATTGCGAAGGTGCTCGTTAGAAAAGTCAGCTTCATCTGTTAAGTCAGGAATTTATGAACAAAACCATTGTCAGCAAAGCTCACAATTGCTAATAGTTTTCCTCTCATCATAGATAAGTACCTGGATTGCTTCTCAGCCTTTGGCTCAGACCAAGTGCAGATTAAAACCGTTTCTTGTGCTTCAAAGGAAGAAATGTGTCTCTACAGCCTCAATTGAGTTACAGAAAGTGTGCAGACACAAGTTATCTTACTTATCTTTAAGATAATACATGAATAAAAATAAAATTGTCTGTTATTGCATAGGCCCGGTTAAAGCATCTGTGTGAGGTCAGTGTGAGGTCGTTTAGTCAGTGAGTTTTGGAAAATGGAAGTTAGCACGATCTGTTTGGAAGCCAAGTGGTGAGAAAGAACTTTTACTTGAAAATTGAATTTCAGTATTTGAAACACTTTAAAGAATAAGTGGCTATTAAATGTATTAAACTAGCTTAAATTGCAAACACAAAAATTCATGTTATTTCAGAGTACCGAGATGAATATGTCAGTACCAAAGAAAATGTGTAAACGGTAAGTACATGTTATAATAATAAAGGTTTGAAAATCATATTTACATATTTTTAAAGATATATTTATTTTACGTGTATGAATATTTTGCCTGCATGTGTATATGCATACCACATGTGTGCCTGGTGTCACTGCAGAGGTCAGAAGATCCTCTGGAACTGAAGTTATAGACAGTTGTAGGCTGCCATGTGGATGCTGGGATCCGAGCCCATATTTTCTGCAAGAACAAGTGCTCTGAACCAAAGAGCCATCTTTCCAGCCCTCAATTTTGTTTATTTATTTACTGCGTGTGTGTGTCTGTGTGCGCATGTGTGTCTATGACATAGCACACATGTGAAGGTTTGAGGACAGCTTTTGGGAATTGGTTCTCTCCTTCCACTATGTGAGTTCCCAGTACTGAGGTCAGGTTATGAGACTTATAGGCAATAACATGATGAACTATCTCTTCACCCGGATGTCTCCTTTGTTTGCTTGTACTTTGGTGTCCATCTTTGTATAAGTCTGTTTGTCTTGATTTCTTTCTTTGTGTTTTAAAGGCCCTGCATTCTCATACTAGACTCCTTGAAAGCTGCTTCCGTACAAAACACAGTTCAGAATTTACGAGAGTAAGTAATGACAGTTTCTACCTTCAGTCTGTTTTCTAAAGTCTCAGAACTTTGGTAACTACCTTAAGTCATACTAAAAACAGTCCTGGAGATGTGGGGTTGGTTGGCATATGTTAGCACTCAGAGGCAGTGTTATGACCTAACAGGCAAGAGGACTATAAATTCAAGGTCAACTTTGTAGGACAGTGGACTAGAATAGTGAGATCGTGGCCACAGTGGAAAAACAGATAACACCATGTTAGTAATTTTATTTTTAACATATACTTAAATGAACCTAAAAATCTGACCGCCAGCAGCATCTTCTATTATGTGTTAATAGTGAAGGATTTAGATTTGTCAAAGGTAAATTCAAATTTTTTATTTGTAATTGAACAAAACCATAATTTTATGCAAAATTGCGGGTATTAGTGACTATTAAAAATAAAACTTGAAAAGAAAGTGGAGACCTGTAAATTTCTATTTGTGCATGTATGTGTGCATGTTTGGGGGAGAAAGTAGAAAACTGTCAATTTCTGTTTGTGTGTGGGAGGGGATCTTTTTACAGAAATTTAAAAATCATGCGGATGGGCTGTGGGACCGTGGCACGCTTGTGCCTCGGCCTAGGTATGGAGGTCAGAGGACAGCTTGTGCATGTGGTTTTCTCCTTCCACCATGCGGGTCCTGGGGGTCCAGCCCAGGTCGTGAGGCTTTGCAGCAGGAAACTTGGGTAGAAGGTGCCTTTACCTCTTGGCACCAGAGAGGAGTTGATACAGGCGCGGAAAACAAACAAATGTTACAGCCGTGCTTTCACTTCCTTCATAATAGAAGTAGTGCTGTGAACACTAAGTTGTTAAGAAACTTTAGATTTTATATGAAAATCCCATCACTCTTCACAGTAGCGTTTGTGAAGACTCATAAATTATGGTTTGTTGAAATTTAATCTGAAGCAACAGATTTGTCAAGGAGAGGTTTTCTTCCTTTGTAGAAAGTGTTGCGGATTGATCAAGATTTCCATTCAAGTCACTTTCCTTATTGATTATTTCAGGTATCTAGAAGTAGAGTGGGAAGTTAAGCGAAAAACTCACCGTGAATTCAGTAAAACCAGCATGGTGGACCTGTGCCCTAAAGTTCCTAAGCAGGACAATAGCAGTGACTGTGGGGTCTATTTGCTGCAGTATGTGGAGAGCTTCTTCCAGGTACGTGCAGACTCAGATTTCCCTTCTAACTCACAGTTACAATGTACAGTTACAAATTCTGACCAAGAAGAGGCAGGAAAATGTGACTAGGCAAGGACATATAGAAAAGACATGGAGGCCACAAGTGACCCAGATATGAGAATATGAACAAAATGGATGAAACATGAAATACAGAAAATATCAAATGAACATTCTAGAGTTGAAAACATACAGCAGTCTATTAAGAACTTGAGTGGAGTTCTTAATGTGGTTGATACATGTATGTAGGTGCCATTAGGTGACTGAGCCAGGAGGATGAGAAACAGAAACTCTCATTTAAAAGGCTAAGATCCTCATTTCGGTGGGTTGCAGGGCTGCCTAACCTTTTGACATAAGCCTTCTGCAATACAGCACTACCCTGTGCCCTGTGCTGCATTAATAGCTGTCCTGGGATGCACGTGACCTCAGGGCTGCAGGTTAGACACACCTGGAGCACACCAGCTATAGCAGGGGATAGGAACAGAAAGTGTCCACAGGTAATTCTGGAGTAAGAGAATGTAACAAAGAAGCCGAGTCCTATAGGATGCAGGTCTCATTTTTATATAATTGGAGTCCCAGAAGGCTTAGCGAAAGTGCCAGTAGGGCAGATAAAATACTAAAGAAAATTTTCCAGATGTAAAAAATACCCATTTACTTAAAAAGCTCAGGACATCATAGCTGAGGAAACAATTAGAAGCATGGCTATGATTTTCTACTTCATAGAGGCTTTATGCAGAGAAACTAAATACAAGTCTTTAAATGGCAGGGAATCAGCACTTTTCAGCACCAACTTGTTTAGTTTCGTCGTTACCAGCAGTGTTGCTTACTGTGATATGTTTTTGACCAGAGGTCTCTGTAGAGAATTCTCTCCTGCACTTCAGATTTTCCTTTGTCTTTAGTATTGGGAGGAAGATAACTGCATAGTAAAAGATGGTGCGCATTATAGAGATTTATCACACAATTGTTACAATTGTGTTTATTCTCCCCTTGTATTCCACACTGGAACTTCATCATAGGCAGACAGTTCTGGTCCTCTAGCATTGATTCCAAGTAGATTTTGATTTAAGGTTTAGAATATCCAGTGGGCGTCATTAGTGACATTTTCTTACTTAGTTTCACAATTCCAATTTTAGGTAGCCTTGATCAATAATAGAATATAGGTTAAATACAGAATCACCATGTAAAATTCCTGGGAAAAGCTAAAAATTCTAAACTTATGTTTTGTGTACTGTTGTAGCATCAAACAGGTTAAAAACAAGTCTTGAGGAACCAGTGGGTTTCCCTAAAGAAAACGGTACAAATTCTAGTAAAAATATCAGGCAGTAAATCACCACATAGGCATTTGTAGCACAAATAACAAAAACCCAGAGACAGATACGGGTTCAAGCTGAAGACCAGAAAAGCAAAGCAGTCAACTACTAGAGAGACCTTTTACCTGTACCAAATCTTCAGACCGAAGGGGTGAGGTCCTGTCTCCACGAATCCTCAGACTCCACACCACACTGAGTGCCTGTCCCCCTTTATAATCCTCTCTCTGCCCAGCCATATCGCTCCTGTCTCTACCTCCCTACTGCTGGGATTAAAGGCATGGATCCCAAGTGCTGGGATCATCTTTGTATGAGATATGTTTCTCTTTTAAACAGATTGGATCTCTGTAGCCCAGGGTGGCCTTGAACTCTTAGAGTTCAAACCCGCCTCTGTCTCCTGAGTCCTGGGATTAAAGGTGTGTGCCATCACTCCCTGGTCTGTATGACTGACTAGTATGACTGCTTTGCCCTCTGATCTTCAGGCAAGCTTTATGTATTAAAGCACAAATAATGTACCACTATAGGCATTGGCCCATATAGGGTTCCGAGATTCCAGTCAGTCCATCCTCTCACCCTGTCTTCTCCAAGATGTAAGTCCTTACATTATCCTTCAGATTTATGAATACCAGCTAAGGGTAGCCTTCCTTAGCAACTAAAAAAAGTTAACCCAGGAGAAATAACTTCTTAGTTTTAACTTAACTTTGCCATTAAATTAACACCATGGAAATGTAGTAGTTCAGAAAGCTGTTTCTTACCCTAAAAGATGACTTTTAGTGGGATTTTTCATGTTTATATCTCTGGAAATCTTTATTACCAGGGCTTTCTCCATAATAGTTCAACAGTATTAACATGTGTCTGATTTCTGAGTTCTGCTGAGTCATTCTTTACCGGTTATCACACCACTCAGAATGCAGTGTAACAGAGTAGACTATTTCGTTTTAATGCTCAGAAGTTAGCAATTTATGAAAATGATCTAAAGTTGATTGTGGCCATGGTTACCCAGCTGAGAAACTGAAAACTAATTTTGTGCTTTATGTGAGTGCTGTGGTATGGTGTGCAGCAATCTGTTGATTTTCGAAAGGTGTCATGTTTTCATTTCCCACAAAAGTGAGATTTTAAAAAATTGAAATCATGATGTCACACTAATATCATTCTTTCTTTTCTCTTCTTAGGATCCCATTGTTAACTTTGAACTCCCAATTCACTTGGAGAAATGGTTTCCTCGCCATGTAATAAAGACCAAGCGGGAAGATATTCGAGAGCTCATTTTGAAACTGCATTTGCAGCAACAGAAGGACAGCAGCAGTTAGTTAATCCGTGCAGACATGGCTCATGCTCTCTAAATTTCCTGGCAAGCGGCTTACCGGCATTGTGTCAGCTTAGAAGAAAGTAACTTGTAGTAGTTCATAAATTGTTGAAATGTATATGGTATCTTGTTTGAGTCGTTGGGCTCTTACAGCTGCAGGTGTCATAGAAGCACTTATAGAAATTAAAATTTCATAAATATATTTTTATGATTAAATATGCTTGGATTATGCAATAGCGTATGTAATGTGGGAATGTTTTCGTAAGTAATAAACCTATGTGATCTGTACTTCCACATGACTGGGTGTTGATGGGAGGTGGATTCTCCCTGGTGCCAGCCCCAGTACTTGTCAGATTTGTTGGCGAGTCACATCATATTGTAACTCTGTTCTTTGCAGCTCAAGCATGCAGTATGAATACTGTGTATTTTTTTTAAAAAGAACTTAGTATCAAGGCTTCAGAAAATGCCATTCACGGCATCCCTTCTGTATAGTATAAAAAAAAGGAAAACCATTAGATACAAATTTACCCTTTCAAAGTGCAGCTTATTATTCTCAATTGCTAAATGCAATTCCACCCCCCCCGCCCCCACTTCTTCACATGTCACAGGTAGAGGACTGAGAAGTGAGTTCATTTGTTCAGATAAATGTGGAACACACTTTAAAGTACCAAATGAGTTTTCAAAAATTATGTAGCTAAGCTTTGTTTTTTTTTTTTTTTTTTTTTTTTGGTTTTTCGAGACAGGGTTTCTCTGTGGCTTTGGAGCCTGTCCTGGAACTAGCTCTTGTAGACCAGGCTGGTCTCGAACTCACAGAGATCCTCCTGCCTCTGCCTCCCGAGTGCTGGGATTAAAGGCGTGCGCCACCACCGCCCGGCTTAGCTAAGCTTTGTTAATTTGAGGTATAGCTGTATAAATATTCATTCCTACATTACTCTAGAATGTGTGTATACAGTTTCTATAAAAGATAAAATTGGTGTCCTCATAATTTTAACAGAGAAAATACTTTTAAACTTCTATTTATTATTTAGAACCAAATATGTAATTTTATAGTTTGGTTACCCATGATTCATCTGCAAAGCCAGATTTCTTATTTCTTTTATATTTTTAAGTTATAGTTTTAAAGATTATGATCCCTCAGGGATCTCACTCATACAGCACCCAATATTTTATTAAATATTCAGGTAACAGTTCTACTGAATTTATGTGATGATGGTGGTATTATCTAGTAAGCACTTTAGAATCTTATGCTATCAGAAATATTTTTAGGGAGATATGATCATATTGTTTTCTCAGATAATGGGTTTTAGAATATTATTTTAAACATATCTTGGATTTACAGTTATAACTGTTGTAAAGCATTTGAAACAAAGTAAATTTAAGATAAAACTAAGAAGTCTGAAGGTTTTATTTCAAAATCAAGTGACTTGGGTTGCCAGTTAGCCTTAGTGTCCTCAGATTCAGCTGGTCTTGTCTCTCTTTGCACTGTTCAGGATACATGGCTTTGGGGATTTTACATGAAAGTGCTTATTAACTGCATATTTCATTCCCAACTTATGTATGTTGGCGAGAAAACTTTTTTTTAAAGTGGCTGTTAATTGTTTTGTACATCTAATTTTGGAAAGCAAGTGTATAAGAGATCTTATAATTTCTGACCTTTTCTGTTTGTGTGTTTTTCAAAGATACCACTGTCCTTCATCATGTTTTGGAGACTGTTTAAAATTTGTTTTCCTAAATTCATGTAGAAATAATGGTTTGAGGATGTCAACATTTTATATTAAACATGTTTTCAATTCATTAAATTGAGGAGTAATCTTTTCTTAAATATGAAACACTGCTAGAAATGGGTGATATTATCACCTCTGTGATGGGTAAAAGTTAAATCACTTCCTGTGGTGGTGGATAACAGTCAAAACTCTAAAAAAGTACTGTATAAAATTACCTCAGGATGGATATGGGAGTATATAGGAAACATAAATATTTATGTTTATTATGCCAGAATTGTATTTTTAACTATTGTGTACTGCATATACCATGTAATTGGATGTTTAAATTATTTTTTTTCACATTTTAGCAGGTGTACAGTTAATTTGAATGTCTTTTTGTTTAAAGGAAAATAATACTTCAAGTCGAGCAACTTAATTAGATAAGTGTTGCCCCAGTCCAGAACACTCCCAAATCTGAAGTGTTCTGAGCACCAGCATGATATGACAAGTAGAAAATTCCATTCTTACCTATGATGGGTGGCAGTCAAAACACTAAAATACTGCTTACAATTAGCTCAGCATATGTATGAAGAGTAGATATGAAACATACATGAATATCATGCATAGATTTGACCCCTTCCCTCAAGATATAGCCATGCACTTGCAAATATTCTAAGATCCAACACATGCAATTCTTCTGCTCCTGGTATGTCCCATGATACCCAGCTCCCATAACTGCTAATAGCCAGCAGTACACGTGAGGAAATGCACGCCGGGGTCATGGGGCTCGGTGGGTAAAGGCATTGGCTGTGTAAGCCTAGTGTGCTAGTTTGCTTTCTGTTGCTGTGGTAAACACGATGACCAAACCAGCTCGGGGAGGAAAGGGGGTTCACTTACAGGTCACAGCCCCTGAGGGAAAGAAAGCAGGGCAGGAACTTGAAGCAGAAACCATGGACGAACACTGCTGGTTCAGTTCCTCTGCCAGCATTTTGCTAGACACACAAAAGATGAACTTTTTCCTTTTTGAAAGCAAATATTTACTTTTTATAATACTTGGTATTTATTAACTGAAAGTTTTATACATTTTGGTTTTATATCCATTTACTGTTACTCTCTTCGAATGCCTGTAGCAAGCTTTCTTTGGGGCCTCAGCCAGCTCCCAAATCCTGACACAAAGACTTAGTTATGAATTAGTTCCTTACGAATGTTTGGCCTTATGCTTGTTTCACTAGCTCTTTCAACTTAAATTATCCTGTTTCTTTTCATCTGTGTTTGCCTCGGGGCCTTTTACCTTCCTTTCCTTCTGTTTTGTATATCTTACTTTTCTGCTGTTTCCACGGCTGGCTGACAACTGCCTGGCTTCTGGTCCCAGCCCTGTCCCTAGGACTATCCCTCTCTTTCTCCCTTCTCTCTCCAGCCTAGATTTCTCCTCCTACTTATTCTTCGCCCACCAGCCCTGCCTATCCCTCCCCTACTCAGCTATTGGGCATTTAGCTTTTTATTAGACCAATCAGGTGCCTTAGGCAGGCAAGGTGAAACAAATACAATGTATCTTTCCATATTTAAGCAATTACAGCATAAACAAATGTAACACACTTTTATACAATTACAGTAATAGTCCTCAACATAAGCAAAAGTAACACATATTTGCATAGTTAAAATAATATTCCACAGCAAATGCTCACAGTGACGTCCCCTTTGTTACTCAACTTCATGCCCTTTTTGTTGTTTATTAAGAATTCTCTGGTCTTTTTTTTTATGTCTGATTTGTTTATTGCTATTTTATTTATATATTTATTGGTTTTTTTTAACTTTTTTTTTATTGAGAAAAGAGAAAAAAAAAAACAAATTTCCTCCTCCTCCCAGCCTCCCATTTCCCTCCCCCTCCTCCCACCCTTCTCCCCCTCCCCCCACTCCTCTCCCCCTCCCTCTCCAGCCCAAAGAGCAGTCAGATTTCCCTGCCCTGTGGTAAGTCCTAGGTCCTCCCCCCTCCGTGCATTTCTAGGAAGGTGAACATCCAAACTGGCTAGGCTCCCACAAAGCCAGCACATTACGTAGGTTCAAAACCCTGTGCCATTGTCCTTGGGTTCTCATCAGCCCTCATTGTTCGCCATGTTCAGAGAGTCCGGTTTTATCCCATGCTTTTTCGGTCACAGTCCAGCTGGCCTTGGTGAGCTCTCAATAGATCAGCTTCACTGTCTCAGTGGGTGGGTGCTCCCTTCGTGGTCCCGACTTCTTTGCTCATGTTCTCCCTCCTTCTGCTCCTAATATTGGCATAGCCAAGGGCCCTGGGCTCTAAGTCTTACCCGCTGTGGTCCATGCCAATATTTAGGTCCTTGTCCAGCTGAAATTTTCATGTATACCATGTCAGAAGCACTTTTTTTTTTAATCTTTGTTTTCCATTTGGTTTTTGGACCATGGGCAGAGCTCAGGCACTTTGTGTGAGAATGTTGTTTCTGTAAAGATGGTTATTTAACTCTCCCTGGTCCCCACCTTGTTAGCTCTACTGAGGGCTGACCAGAGGCCAGTGGAGCTGCCTGGGTATCTGCAGGGAGGCTGAGGCCTGCTGAGTGCTGCCCCAGCCCTCCCGCCTTAGTAGCATGGGTGGGTCACCAGGCACCTGGTTGCCCCTCTTGACCAGCTTGGGATAAGAGGGCCACCTCTGTCCCCATAATTGCTTTCCTCTGCTACCCACACTTGTTTGAGGTTGTGCTGACAGGTTTTTCTTTTTCTCGTAGATTTTTTTTTTTTCCTTCCAAGTCTACTTTTCGTATTCACAACAGCCAGGGACTTGATGTATTTTACACCACATTAAATAGTCTGTTGCCTTAAAAAAAAAAATAGAGCCCCAAATGAAGGACGCTAGTAGGAAAACAAAATACACGACTGGGCTGAAGCTCCTACCTCGGATTACACCGAGAGGCAACCACCGACAGCATTTAACGACTACCAGGGTTTCTATGCAGAAATAAAAGAGTTAAAAGTGCAAAAAAAAAAAAAAAAAAAAAGAATTCTCTGGTCTAATTACTGCTTCCTGTTGGAGCATGGATATGGGGGCCATCCACTGGGGCATAGGCCTCTTTTTCCTTTAGCTTTTTTTATTTGTTTAGCTTCTCATTACTGCCTAGGCCCACCTCCCAGAGGTGGTATTGCACACAACAATGGGCCTAGCCCTCCCTCATCAGTCAGCAGTCTAGATAATTCCCCAAGGGTCTCAGGTCAGTCTCATCTGGGCAGTTCCTCAAATGAGACCCCCTCTTTCCAAGTGACTAGTTTGTATGAACTTGACCATAAAAACTAATCAGGACACATAGTGACCCGAGTTTGGTTCCTGGAACCTGTGAGAAGGTGGGAAGAGATGGCTGACTTTATGTTGTTCTCCAGCCTCCACATAGCTGTGCCCTGCTCACCCACACACATGTTATGTACATGTGCACACGTAGATGCATACGCTAATCATAAATTAAGAAACGAGCTCTTCCGTTTTTGAAAGCAAACATTCGTTTCTGGACAGATAAACAAGTCTAATAATTTGGTAAAAATAGAGTCTCTCTGAGAGTGGGTGAAGCTATGTTAGCGAAGAATATTGGTGAGAGGCAACAGACCGTGAAACGCATGCTAATATCCAGAGATTATTTGTAGAGTAGATAACAAATTTTAATTTAAAACTCTCGAGATTGGTGTGGAGGGATGAGTGTTTTGTTTGATTTTGTAAGTCCTCTTCAACCAGATAGTGCCTGAGAAAGTTTTAAACGTCTTAGAAATCACCTTTTATTTATTTATTTATTTATTTATTTTTTGGAGGGGAAGGTCAGGAAGGGAAATGCCTCAGTGTTGTGTCATCCTGTTCCAGCCTGTTTGTCTATCCTCCATTCTCCTTCCTCCTTCGCAGTACGGAACTACTCACTCAAGCTGTACTTCAGATCCGTTAACTGGCATATTTCTGTGGGATTTTGTAAACGCTGCCCATCACATGTCATCGTGTGTCATCATGTGTCGTCACGTGTCAGAAGACAAGGTTCTTTGTATATGAGACTTAGTCATGAATTAGTTCCTTACGAATGTTTGGCCTTACGCTTGTTTCACTAGCTCTTTCAACTTAAATTATCCTGTTTCTTTTCATCTGTGTTTGCCTCGGGGCCTTTTACCTTCCTTTCCTTCTGTTTTGTATATCTTACTTTTCTGCTGTCCCCGTGGCTTGTGTTTATTCAAATGATCTCATCTGTAAAATTGTATTCTTTTCGGGGGACTGGAGAAATCAAAGGGTCAAGAAGACCTCAGATGAAGATGTACTTTACTTAAAGTTACCATAGTAACAACAGTGTGCCATAATTTTCAACCAGGTATATGTGGAACCAGGTAATGGACTATTGTTTTGTGATGTGAATGCCACTTTGAAGCCCAAGTCAAAGCTGAATGCCTGGTTTGGTTTTGCTTCTGAATAGGTTAATCATTCTCATGTGTTCATTTAAACTCGATTTTCGGCGTAATTTGTAATTGCAGCACTTCTAGTCCCAAGCAAGTGATGCCTAATCTAAGTCTGTTATCCAACATTTTGCTAGACACACTGGTGTGGGAGGTCTTTCTGTATATGTGTTGCTTTTATTGGTTAATGAAGAAATAAGCTGCTTTGGCTTGTGATAGGGCAGAATAGAGCTAGGTGGGAAAACTAAACTGAAAATAGGCAGAGTCAGAAGCCATGGAGCCCCCAGAGGAGAAAGAGGTGAGCCAACAGCTGGAACCTTGCTGGTAGGCCACAAACCTCATGCTAAGGTTCCACCTGGTGGTTCCATGGCTTCTCCCTAACTTTGCCTACTCTCTCTATATCTCTTTCAGCCTGGCTGTACTCCATCTAGCCATTGGCTGAAAGCAGCTTCTTTATTCATTAACCAATAAAAGCAACACATACAGAAGGACTTCTCGCACCAACACACACACACACACACACACACACACACACACACACACAAATGAACGCTTTCCTCTTTTGAAAGCAAATACTTCATCTCTTCCTAACACCCCAGTACCCTCCCTCTCATCTCGCTTCATGACCTCTTTTTATGTTGTTGTTGTTGTTGATTGATAGCTCC